TTTTGACTGCGGTTTGAAATATACGAGAGGTAATACTGGAGGAAGTGAAGTAAGAAGAGGTGAATGGCCGTGGCAGGCGTCCTTGTACCTGCGTAATGTGGGTCCATATTGTGGAGGTTCCCTTTTATCATCAGAGTGGGTATTAACAGCTGCCCGCTGTTTTGCAAACAGAAAAAGCCCGAGAGATTGGAAGATAATTTTAGGGAAAACTGACTTTTACCAAAACGAAGGTGGAGAACAGGAGTTCGATATTGCTTCGGGAGGGATCGTAACTCATCCGAAATACCGAGGAACCAACGAATATGACGTCGCTCTTGTTCGGCTTTCTCGAAAGGCACGGCCGACTACTCGCGTAAACACCGTTTGTCCTGATGAAGGTGAACCGGTTTTTCGACCAGGAAAAGAATGCTTCGTCACCGGTAAGAATAAGAATAAATGTGTCAAAACATTTTGTGGGGGAACTTAGATAACAAGTAGTAAAGTCAAATATACGAACGAGGAGAAATGGTGAAGAATGGGGAAGTGCGATATTTATCATCATGTCATCATCATCACCCATCATCATTCTCGGCTTTTTGACCGTGACCAGGTTCTGTCTTATAAACAATCATTTCTTTCATAGGTTGGGGCAATGTGAATGAAGGAGGCATTTTATCAAGTATTCTTCAACAGACTTCGGTTCCACTTGTCTCTGTATCATCTTGTGAACGCAATCGTGATTTCCGTTCATACTTTAAGAGAGAGAACATGATGTGCGCTGGTCCTCATGGTGCAGGGGGGAATACTTGTGGGATGGACACTGGTGGCCCTCTCGTTTGTCGAGGTAAGTTGTTTATATATATACTTACATGTATACCTCCCATCGAGCTCTACAACGTGCACCTCAGTCTCCTAAACAAACATGTGTAGGCTAACCATTCCTCGGTGATTTATTACTAGTCTTGTTCAGTGTTTTTGTGCTCCATAGCATATTGTATTCTTGCAAAAGGTCACTGTATCTGATTAATCGATGCCTTGCCATTACAGGTCCCAGTGGACGATGGATTCAAGTRGGTGTGGTCAGTTGGGGACACGATTGTAGTCGAAGCGGTCATTATGGTGTTTATCAAAGGGTGTATCACTACGAACCATGGATCAAAAAGACTATTGGCATAGATGAGGAGTTAGAACCTTGATGTTCAAGATTGATAGAGAGCTTAGAACTCGACTGAAAAACATACTTGAGTAGGAAGTATAGCGGTTTATTGTTGATAGCAACTCGTACGTACGATAAAGAAAGTTATGCTGTACATAAATACACTTAGTTCATATGAAGTAGACTATTGCGGTGCAGTCTTATAGTGATAATAAAATCACCCGCAAATCGCTTTGTTTAGGGTTATAATTTAATCTGATAGGAAAAAAGAAATAAAGACTTCATCAAACAAAACAGAAGTAAAGAATAGACAAATTATTATATGATACCCATATCAAATCTACTAAAAAGGGGGTCTCAATGGGGTTAACCGTGAGACCCAGTCTAATCAAAGATACTTTACTGTATTTAGGTTTAGATAGTCTTCCTTTTGACCAAATTCAGTTGACAATTTAAAGCTTCTTCGCCGCTCGGCATAGTATACAATCGACTTCGCACTTAGATTTTTCACGTCTCTGGATGAACTCCCGGACAGAATGTCACGAAAAATTATATGTCCGGGAGTCAAAATAATTCACCAAAATCACAGTAAAATGTAAACCCAGTCTAATCAAAGATACTTTACTGTATTTAGGTTTAGATAGTCTTCCTTTTGACCAAATTCAGTTGATAATTTAAAGCTTCTTCGCCGCTCGGCATAGTATACAATCGACTTCGCACTTACATTTTTCACGTCTCTGGACGAACTAATAAATCTATTGAAGAATGATTATGCAAAGCAATTCCTGAGCTGAGTTCTGATTGGCTCGCTACTCCCTTGGGATTTTGGTGACGTCATATATTAGCATAGATCTTCACCGAATAGACTACCCCAATTAGATATTAGATATCTATAAGTGTCTTCATAGTACGATGGTCTAAGAGGGTAGCTAAAGGTATGCTCTAGTGGGCGGCTACCCCCTCACTCCCTGGCCTTTTGGTTAAGACTAAGTTTTATGTTCACTCGGGATAGCGTGGAAGAGCCGAAATCTCTAACCGTAACGTAAGCCGATTCGACGCCTCAGCTTCATAGAATGTCTCGGGGGAATCGTCCTATCTTTTTAGATTTTTATTTTCATTTTTTCTTATGTATTCCGGGGGGTGCATTTTCTACTGAAGTGAAATTCCTGAGTTCGAGTCCTGCTGCTGGAATTTCTCTTTTTTGCGTGCGTATTGTTTCTTTTGCGTTTGTTTCTAGTTTTCTTTTATTCTTTCTTTTTTGCTCTTTTTTCATTTAGTCTTTTTCTTTGCTGTTTCACTTCGTTTTCTTTTTTCTAGTGATTTTCTCTTTTCAGCTTAAAGGACTAGCAAGGAACGCCTGCTACAAGTGGAAGTACATAGTAACGACAGGCCCCACAATGCCTTTCGTCACAAAAATGATAAAAAATGACTTTTTAGATTATTTAAAGTCAAACAGTAATATGAATACGCTGCAAACTTCGCGATTTTACCATGCACATTTAGCCAGGCATAGAAATCGTCGCGAAATGCGACAGTGTGTTTCTTCCGTATTTCTGTTAAATTTCAAGATTTAAATGAGGACAACATCGTTTCCGTACGAATAAGTCACGCAGTCTATTCATACGGACATTTTCTACGACCTATTTCCAACTCAATTCTAAACACTGAATTCTGAATGTTTTCCCACCCTCCCCTCCCCATTTGACAAATTTGACGGAGAGAGAGACCTGGGACTGGTAAAAAACATGGCTGCCATCAGAGAAGTTGAATCCAGCTTTGTTTTGTCGTCGGGATTTTCGTTTCCTCTTTTACTTCAAGGAGGTCAAGCGTGTTCTGTAGCATGAGGGAGGTCATCAAGAATGATAAAAGCACCACCTCAACGAGATACCAATGCGAGAAAACGCGAAAAAGACACCAAACCATCTGTGTCCCGTTTATACAGGTGAGCTAGAATTCGAGATTTTCGATTCCTAGAACTACTACTTTTAGCAATTTCTCGTGAATAATGAAATATGTGATCATTTAAGAAATAAATTTATCATTTGAGCACTATTTCAAGTTGTTAAATACTAAAGTGTTTGGGGGATTTTGTGGTAATTGGACGCAGTGATGTGTTTTGAATCTTTGTCTTCCAACGTTGAAATAAGAGATGCGTCATGCAGACTACTCTTGTGTTAACGATTTATAAAGTGCAAATGTTCGACATATCTCGCTTTTCACTTGTCAAGAAAATATRATTTGTACTAGGCATGCCGGTAATAAACCCAATTTCAAGTTTCATTTAAGCTTACCATTATGGTCACTATCCACAGAGCTACAATAATAGTGATATTCTCAAACAAATCTCACTGGATAGTGATTAATCTTTCACATAAATTAATGTTTGAAATACCTCAACTGTTTGTCAACAGAGCTTCTGTACAGCTAGCCCAGAGACTTGACATACTTTGCAAGTCAACATCTGATTGGAAAGAGCTCTTTCAAGCTGAAACTCTGGGAATCAGACAAAGGTATATCAATATCAAGTTAAAATAAATTGTTACATTATTAGACATTCATCAAAATGTTAATGTTGTTTAAAAAGATATTGGTTTTTCTTGTTAATTATTAAATTAATATTAAATCAAAAAATATATACATGTTTTGAAAACGAAGCCTGCCTCACAAGACAAAGATTATTGTGTGCTAGATGTGAGGTCGTTCAAATTTCATCTGTGGGCAGTAAGGTTTTTACCTACATGTAGCAGTGTAGTCAAAACAGTGCTTGAGAAAAAACCCTCCTCCCTTTGTGTGGCAGGCTTAAAGTGTGCAATATGGTAGGCATGATTGTTTAAATCAGAAGGAAGTGGAGACTGACAAGTAGATGACATCAGAAGGATTAGCAGACTTCAAGGATTTTGTTTGTTATTCTGCTTCCTTCACTATTTCTCATTCACTTTCCATTTTGTTATGACAACAATTATTTACAAAAGGATCACAAACTTTCTTATTTTAACAGATTAAAATCAAACTGTGAAAGCTTATTATTCACAAACCCAAAAGAGTATGGGAGGAAAGCTGAGGAATTGTTGTGGAGAAAGGTGTTTTATGATGTTATCCAATGGTTGAGGCAACAAAGAAAGGTATTTTAATCATTGCAAGGACTATGTTATACTGTCAGTTATATTACTTTACTTTTATAAACATATTTTGATAAGTGAATTATAGTTGTCCTTAGTGGTTGACTGTCTCACATTGTTTTTCTTCTGAGATTCAAAAAGACAACCCACAATTTTATTGTCATTTTTATTTAATGCTTTTAGCTGTTMTTTATAATCTAAGTTCTATATTAATTAATACATTTTATTCATTATTTTGTAAGATTTCTGATGGTGATCTTGAACTGGAAAGTGCATGTCGTTCACATTTACTGTCAGCCTCGGGATATTATTACCATTTACTGCTCAAATTGCAGCAGCATTATGCCATCAAATTAGACAGTGTAGTGTCTTGGTCTTCAACAGATTTTAAAGGCAAGTTTTACTGTATACACTAAAAAGGTTGTTGGATAGAATGGCAATTTGAAATTAATGACCAAAAGGAGTCAAGGGTTTTTGTGATTGCTGGGAAATACATGTAAAGTTCTACTAAATTATACTGTACATGCAAAGTGAACCCAACTGGTTTAAGTTTGTATTTCAAATTACAGTGTAGTCATTTCACTTTCAGTCATGCATTCTCACTTTATCTATCACCATTAACCATTCTCCTAGGCATTATTTGAAATAGGTTCTGATAAAGTGTATAATATTTKGTTTAGATCAGTCAAGCAAGTATGATATTGAAATCAGAGAATGGGCAAGTAAGGCCTGTCAGCGATGTCTACTTAGTCTTGGCGACTTAGGTAAGTAGTGTTATTTTAATGGTATATATTTCTATAACGAGAGCTACGTAAAACACATTTCTTTGTTTTTAACTCTTTTACAGCACGATATCAACAAGAGTTTGAAGGTACAACCAAGAACATAAAAYTGGCAGAGAGGTTTTACTTGGAAGCATTTCATCTTAATCCTGATTTAGGTAACAACACTATTTGTAGTAAGCATATCATTGTTAGTACAGTATAGCATCCTAATCTTATTGCAAGGCAAAGAGGTGTAAATTGTTGAGGGTTAGGAATAGAAAAATACATTTTGTTATTGTTGTACATTCCTAGGTATGCCACACAATCAGCTTGGTACRCTACTGGGAGGCTTGTATTGTGGATGTGAAGGAGTGTATCATTAYATGAGATGGTAAGATTTACTATATAATTTAGTTGTATTATTATTGTCCWTTTATAATTATAAAATGTTTCAATGTCTTATAGCCAATCTTGCATGTCGTACTAATGCATTATCTAGATATAACATTAACTTACTAGATTTTCATGTATTTAATTGTGTAACCAAGCATTTATGATGCTTTGGTGTATTGGTAATCCTTGTCATCTTTCAATCTGGTTCACCAAGCAAGTGGTTTGTTGTTTTCAGCATGATGTGCAAAGAAGTGTTTGACGGTACTGAGGGTAATTTGTTAAGATTGTTTGAAAAGAACAGAACTACTGTCATGAGTATGAAAGAATTGCCATTGAATGCATCAATGGCTGACAAGTAAGTATCAATGTACAAAAAACCTCATGCATTCCATCGCATTCTTGTTAACAATATGGAAAATGACATGTYGACAAATAAAATGCAAAACAGAATGTGAATTGTTCATCAAAGAAAGTAATGTTGTACTGACAATTAATTACAAATATATTTTGTTTTTAGAGTGAAGAGGTTCCTTGTATATTTTGTTTATCTCCAGGACGTACTTTACACGAGAGAAAGGTAAATATTACAACATGCAATATTATATATTAAATGTAGAAGTAGGAAAGAGAAAATATGAAGGTATCATGGTGGAATTATATCAAGAGGCCATATACTCCAAAAGGCTTGAGGAGGATGGGTAATTATACCATGAGCAACACTGAAATCTTTGTATTATTTTGCAGTACCCACAAAATTGCAGGTGAAGAGATTGGACAACTTTGCCAATCTGTGTTACAAGACATGGAAGCTGCTCTCTCTATTGACAAGTCAACTTCGAATGAAAATGGAGACTATCAACAGATGCTTGTCAATGGGGAAGGTGCCAATGGTAAGCGTGTTGGTGCTGATGATGTGAAAGGCATTGAGTTGACTGGCTCACTTATGGTCAAGGTGTCAGGGATAATGATCATGACACTAACAAGACTGAAGCTAGAAGGTAAGACCTGAGTTGAGTTCCTGGAATTGGTATGCATGTGTAAAAGAAATCTTGTTAATCAATAAATCCTGTCTTGCAGGTTCACCTGAAGCACCCGTAGCAACAGCATTTACGCTAGCATTCTTATCCCAGCTTCTTCATCAGTGCATAACTTCCATAGAACATGACACAACTAAAAACAGACTTACAAATGGCAAGAAAAGTGATGACCCTCTCACTGACAAGCATGAAAAATTAGAGAAAGTCAGAAAGATCAAAAAGACAATCAAGATGAGACGAAGGCGACGCAAAAGAAGTGACCTCAGCAACAGTTTAGACAGTTGTAGCCTGAGTGATAGTGATACCCTTGAAGTAGACAGTGGAGATGAAAGCGATCTGAGTGAAGGTGGTTTTGATGATTTGGATAGCGAGGAAAGTGATGATGTCTATGTTGAAAGTGAATCTGATGAAGAAAGCAGTGCACACATCAATGCAACACAAAAGTCTGTCAAGAAAGAGTCTTCATCCTGTAATGGGAATTCAYTGACTGAGGCAGGAAGATTACTAACTCAACAGATCATGAAAGATAATCTTAGCATGAAAAATGGAGTTCTATTTGGTAAAGTTACACAGTTGGATGGAAGTGATGTCAGTGATGTAGAGACTGGTATGTCATAAAAATTGTCMTTGTTATAGAACATGTTTCAATATAGCTGTATTATATATAAAGGCTATACAAGATTCAAACAGCCATATCACTTAACTAATCTTTCTCACTCCTATATGTATACCTGAAACACAAACCTCTCTTTAAAGAAAATGCTTATTTACTGACATTTCATTAAGCAGAGTGAAAAATATGAAACTGGAAACTACTGTAGTCACCATTGTAGGAAAACTTCCTTACAGCCTACATCTATCTCTCTTCCAGTCTTATTATTATTTTTGAGTTTACTTGTAAGTGCTATGATACTACATTTATTGAATATTTTAAATGTCTTCCTAGAATGTTCTGTTGCATCATGGGGAAGAATTGAGGAATTTGAAGAACTTGCTGTGGTTAGATGCTTACTAAACAAGAAACTGTTACCAGCAATTAAAGTGATGACCGACTGGCTTGCTGTCAATCCTGACACCATTTCTACATGTGTGGAGGTAGCCTATTGAAATTTGTTTTATACCCAGTCAAGCTTGTTGGTTGATAGATTGAACAATTTGTTGTAGAGCTCCTCAACATTGTGGTCAAAGATGGCAGCACTGTTGAACCTTTTACCAACACAAGAACAACTGAAAAGTACAGGTTTGTGACAGGTTTACTTGTCTCTTTTATCAGTTATTGGATGCTGCATCAGTAATTACCTCAAACAGAAGTATTAACAATAGCACATTGATATTTTTAAAAATCTTTTCAAGCTGTGGGAAAAAGTGCTCTTTGGAAAGAAGTTGTATCCCAAGAAATAGACGAGAAATGGAGCCAAAACTATGCTCTTCCTGAAGATGTTTGCATGTTTGGCTTTGAACCAATGATGAAAGTGTACAATGCCATGCAATTGCAGTGGATCAGGCCACCAAGAGAGGGTCGATGTATTGAGGTATAATTGCCTTATAGTTTATATTGCAATATTAGGTGTATAATTGACAATTAGACCATCCACGAGTATTGGACTATGAGCTCATAAGTAGTTGATGAGCTCATAGATTATCAACTCCAGGGTCCATGATACCAAGTTGTCTAATAATTTAAACGCTTATGAAAAAGACAACTTTTCTGTGCATTTTTGGCTATTTTTGCTTCACTCATTGTGGACATGGTATAACATGAATGGATATATAATTGTGTCATGATCATTATTTCCTGTAGGCTATTATTAGAACCATGAGTTTGAGAAGCTTTGGTATTCAACTAGCAAAGATGAAGGTACAYAGAACCCTTATTTCATTTCTTCCTAACAGTCCCTTCAGATGTAGAGAGAAAGTCAAGAAAATCCTTTCCTCCCATTTCAAAGCCAGTMAAGATCATTAGCAAATTCATCCTGATTAATCAACATCATCTCATCACAATATATCAATTAAATGATTTTTAAAGAATAACCCAAAATCTATGTGGATTTTAGGCCTTGAATTTATTCTTGTGGGATGAGAGCAAGCAGACATTCCTGGGACCAAATCAGTGTTTAGAACAAGAGAAAARAGAGAGTGAACGCACCAAGCAAGAGGTGAGATTGTCAGCAGACTAACAATGATGCATAATACATACATAACTGTTATCAAAAACAACATCATGCCAAACATTAGCTGTAAAATTAGTGCTGTATGCTGAAGACATCATGATAACGATAATTAGATGTACATCCATTTTTTATTTGTACTAGGAAATAGTCCAATAAGGCACCTCTCCAAAAATCTGTGATAGTCTAATGAAGGGACACAGGAAGCCCGGACATATGATAATYCCTGCTCTTTTTTCGTGTGATCGTTCCATATGGATTAGAGGGGACCTCCCAATTGATGCTGACAGACTCGATGCGTGCTGTGGTTTAGGGCACTGTTTGACCTTAGCATGTGTTGTACATATGCTGATCAAAGCCGCTTACCACAGGATTTGATGCTGTTAATTAGTGGTTAATGATGTGGTTTGTGTGTGTGTTTCTAGGCCGCAAATCGACGATCTCAAGTGATGAAAGCAATGGCGCACCAGAGAATGCAGGTAACAACCACAGGAAACCCAAAGCTTCCGCTGCGTCATCACGCAATTTATTGATCACTTTGAAACTCACGTTCTCTTCGTAGCGTGAGAAAAGTGTTCACAGTTGCTAAAATTAGCCGTCGAAATGGGATCTTCTAAGTCAAGCGGTGAACAGTGGYCTCGCAAAAGCAGGAAACTGGTCGAGGAAATAAGCGTCCCATCATCTCCGTTGGTTATAAATACCAACAACACTTACAATAACAATAACACTTTATTTATTAAATGTATTTTATATACTTTGTATCTRCACACGGAAGTTATTGAGGTAACGGGACGTTTCTTTACAATTAGTCTGAAGTAAGCAAGCTGGAAAAGTCTCTTAAGTCAGCACCTAAAGGAACAACAGCTTACCTAGTACCCGATGCTCCAGCACTGTGYACTCTACTCCACCTTATTCGTAGGCTAGTAACAATGGAGAAGTTTTTGATTATCATCCCTATCCAAGGTAAATACGCCTGCCTTGAACACAGTGTGTCATAGAGAAGTCTGTCCCAAACAAAAAAAGAGCAAATGSTAATAAGGTTGTTGATATTGTTTTTAGTGATTGAAGCTCTTGATGAACTTAAGAAGTTCGATACAGGCGCTCGAGAATCAATAAAATACCTTGAAGGGGAATTCAAAAAAGGCAACAGGTACAGTATTTTCTTATTCCCTGCTAGACATCGATTTATTGCAACRAGCACTGATCACATCATCTTATCATCAATTAATCATCGTTATTGGGTAATTGTTGTCATCATCATTGTCGCTATCAACTGTATGTTATTGTTGAAAGTGTATTATTGTTAAGTGTATATTTCCCCAATTCTAAGGTGGATTCGAGCTCAAAAGGAAAATGAGACTGCTGAGTCAACAAAGAGGCGTGGGCGATATGATGACGTCGCTGTGTGGTAAGACCGATATTATATAAATCATTAGTAATTGTTGGCATTTCAATCTTTTGTTATATGATACAGTATTCAATCTTTAAAAGAGCGGAACTCTGATAATTGAGTGTAGTTTCTATCAAATAACCAATGTTACAATCAATGATTAGTGTTTTCCGACTTTCATTTACCGAGCTAAAATTCAAGTTTACTTTAATATTGTTTGCTGGGTTGTAAAAGGCCTGTGCTAATCTCGGCTGTGATTGGTTCGTTTTCTATTTGCAAAGGACCGTAGACGCCATGATGTGGATAAATCCATTAGTACAAAGTAAACGCGAAATTATATTACGACAGCTTGTAATTGTCTTTTCTTAGTAAATACAAAATACGATCCCTAGTCGCTAGACGTCGGACCTGACAATGTGAAGTGTTCGCTTTCTAGTGTGTTTATCATGTTCTTTTTGTTCGCTGCAATTATTAAAAAAGCATTTCCATCACTTTCCTTTTTTATCCTTTTTTTCTCTTGCTTCTCCAGATTTTTCCGGGTTTAATGGTTTGGTATTTCAATTGTCATAACAGTCATGTTATTTTTCCTGTAAAGCCCTTGTAACACATTTGCGCAATGCATTTTTTGTATTTCATAACCGGTAAAACGATATCCCTTTTGATCCGAAAGGAACAAATCACTTTAGAAAGGTAATTTGTTGTGGTGATAGTAGTAAGTTCCTAGGCATGATGAGATGGACTTTGAACAGTTTGTTTTTAAAGCAAATCCAGACGATACAGGCATTTGTTTTATTTATTAACTCAAGTCTGACTTTTTGGTCCTTGTTTACTTTAATACTGAAGTTAATAATCAAGTGGTTTATACTGTACTTATAGAATTCCATATTTGTAATTGATGGCTTTTTGAAAACGCATGATACCACATCTTTATATCTTGTCTTATGAGTCGTGAAAGCAAACCCTCCAATGGTTATAAGCCTACGCTACCGCGGACAGACCGGGGTGGAGGAAGTACTRGTAATTTCTACTCGTTTCAATATGGGCACCGCAATGGTTACTATTAGATAGCACCGTTTAAGATATTAAAAACATTCTTTGAATCAAAATAGTGTTTGAGTAACCAATGTATACGCATCTTTCAATCAAAATGCATCTTTCATTATACCTATCGTTATTYCTTCTATAACATGCTGTAATGTATTAACTATATTAATATATATAAAACGATCACTTGTATTCAGTCGCTAAAATATTTCCAAAGATGGCACTTGGTGGTTTGTTTAAACAGATCAACTTGTTCACCACAAAGGGTTGTTCACACAGAACAGGCTTGATCCATTAATACTGGTAACAAACGTGTTTCGACGATAACCTATTGATCGACATCCTTTTGATCGATAACCTATCGTGTTTGATTTAGTTACTGCATGATACTAACGTCCTTTCCTAAATGTTATCGAAATTGTATCGGATACTATAAAACAATCATTTATACGAGTCAAACAAAGAATAACTGGGTAACCAAGTAGAACAATGTTTTAGGGTACTTATTACGCACATGGTCTAAACGTGACTGATTGTTTACTGCCCCAAGGCTACATATCAACGTCATTTGCGGTCTTACACCTCAAAAACATTTCAATCACCGACAGAAATAGCTTACAACCAATAAAAATAACTCATTGAGTATTTTGATTGACGGTTCATATGTCAGCCTACGTACTGCTTGCTGATTAATCCTCTTCACTGAACAATTGATAACCTTCCCCCCCCCCCCCCCCCAAGAAAAAAAGTTGATAAATTGATTCAGTTCTAGTGTGATGAAAAGAAGCCATTTTGTTTATAGTGATCTTATTTGTTCAAGAGCGTTTATAAATGTTATTTTTTAACCATTTGCCTCTTTCACGGTCAACAAACTGACTAGTATGTCAAACTAATCAAGCATGTTTATGTCCATGGGTGTTGACCATTGAGACCCCTCTAGGAAAAGCCTTCAAGYCTGTTCTCTTAGTGTTTCCGATCATTGATTCTCGAGTCCATTATAACAATGGCCATCTATACATTATAGATAAATTGCATCGTCACTGATAACTGGAAAGCTTTTAAGAAGGTGTATTTTGTCTCGGGAAAGGTTTAAGTGCCTACCAGTCTCCTTGGTGACCCCCAGGGTGATTATCAGGAAGTCTCTTTTTAAGTATTTTATCTTTGATGCGCTCCAATCAAAATTCTTTGGTAATAGCTATCGTGTAGAGTTCTAGTAATGATAGAAGATTGTAGTCTCATATTTGACAGTCATCATTGACTTGGTATAAATACCTTATTATCCAGTTAACTATTACTCGCTTAAAAAACATTTTTATTGAACAAAAAACCATTAAATAGTTAGCTATTTTCTCACAATAACGTGTTCCAGTGGTTTTTATGGTCTCTATGTTACACGGATATTTAGTTACACCCATTACTAACACTTTTCATTGGTATTAGAACTGTTTCAATAATAGTTCAAAATCGATCATATAGGTTTTGATTATAATCGCGCCACCATAATTCCTTTCAACTTGATGTCAACAAAAATTAAGGCTATTTTAAGCCATAGTAGATTATTGTTAAGATTATTATTAGCATCTATCCCTCGTGGTTTCGAGCTGGTGTTACTATTGAAACATTGACAGGTGACCTGCTTCAAGATACCAGTACATAATACAATCSATTGACCGGTAAACGAACCCGGCTAAGTACACTGTGRCTTAACATGGGCGCGTAAATAGAGAACCGCGGGTGTTTTGTATATTATGAACTTGTTTTGTTCTCTGTGTGGTTTGTCGCTAGAACGAACAACAGGTATAATAAGCGAGTTATTTTCAGAAGTTTAAAGTTTCTTGTGGTATTTTTAACGTTCGTTTTAGATAATTATGGGAAACCATATGAAAAATACCGTGTTTTTGTGGTAATAACCAAGATTATTCTCCTCTCTGAGTATAGTACAGGGTTCCTATCTGATAACTGTTATGTTTAAGAATTGTTACTTYCTTGCATACTGTTGAAATATATTTAAGGACGCCCATTGCACTATCCCATCTATTGTTCCTGCACATTTGTCAGTTGTTACTATTGTGTCTTTGACATAAAATAATGGATATCATTAATAGTATCTTTGTGTGATTTTGATTTCTGCATATTTAGTGTTTCTTTACATCTTCGTTTCTTTGCTTGTTCTACCCTTTCGTACGTAGGTAGATTGTAAATTTGTCGGGGGCTGGAAAACTATTCCTTTTTATTCGTGAAATCCCTCTCATGCATMTTGATCTGGTGTTTTGAGTACGAAACGTTTGTATTCCTGTACCTTGACGTCAATAACTGTTTATTTGCCGAACTCTGTCACACAAGTTATAAACAGTATTTTGGTAACATTAACCAAACCATGTATTCATGAATATTAATTCTCCATGTTAACCACAGGAGATTCAACCAGGTGGTCAATTGCTGTCGGTTTCTTGTCAACCAGACAGCCAAAGGTTTGGTTACGCTATTGACGGGAGGGACCAATGCTGAGAAACCTTCAAAAAAGGGCCGGAGAAACCAGGGTGCAGCCTCAGGGACGCAGGCAACCCCAGAGATGGTGGAGTTTGCTCGCAATTGTGGCATTAACGTAGAATCRCTGAGATCGTTTTGTGCAAGATATACAAGCACTCGATCGATAACCTGAACAGTACTGCGGAGATGGTGGAATCAAGTCCACGTGTGTTAACACGACTTCCACAAACACTGTGGTACCCTGCCTCGATCTGCTGAAACACCTGAAGATACGTATTCCCATCACAACCACTAAGCCAAGAGCATTAGCTATTTGTTTACTAACAGATTAATGGCTAGACATTACATTRTGAACTTTAGTCGAATAGTATGATTACCAGGCAAATCAGTGTCATCAACTGTTTCCCGACATTAATTTAAGTTGTTGTAGGTTATTCTGTAAGGTATAAGTGCAAATGTTTATTACTCAGTTTTCAGGTACAATAACATATTTTAAGTTATTTGATGATTTATAGCATTATTTCAGTGGTATACAATGGTTAATGAAGCTTTTCAGATGGCTGTGCAAGATGTTCTTATGCCAAACACCAAATAGTTGTAAGTGATGGGCTAAACTACTTGCACGTGTCTTATACAGGATCATATTTCTGGCAGTGCACATTTGTCATTAGTTCTTAGAGAACCTAATAAAACCATACCAACACATACTGTTTTTGAATGTATTTCACAGTTTGCATTGATACATCGACAAAAAACCGTTCATTCTTTAGAATCCTTGGAAGTTATTGTCCCCATTACTATCGTAAAGTCAATCATCACAAACGCAAATACTGCCATGTCATTCTATCAGTTATGCACTAGAATTATTTTAACAGAACAATGAGATTATGTTGGCGCTCAATTGTCTTCAGAGGATTAGTTTGGTGTGTTTTTAAGAAGGGATTTGAGCTATCGATTATCGAGTGTTTAAATGTACCATATCGCAGAAGGAGTCTTTATTACGAATACAGGAATTCTATCTATATTGTATCAGATAGGAATCATTATGAGGTTCATCTAATAATAGCATTTCTATCGTCACCTTAACAAAACTTTTTAACATCAACTTATAAAAGGTCTAAAGTTTAATAAAACAATGACTTTAAGCAGCGTGAAATGATATGCCATTCATTACAATGGCGGCTAGTTACCGACTATACTAGTAGGCTAAAGGGGCGTGGTCAATCGCTCAAAGTGGCCACCCGTTACTCCAGTAGATACACTAAAGTCATTCTCTTTCAAAAATAGCAAAGGTGTTGGTTTTCGCAGAACGACTGAGTTTCGATATGATTGCTGATTTCATGAAAACGGTGTTCGATGCAAGATTATTTCTCAAGTACGCAKYGATCAACCCCCAGGATGAGGTACACCCCTAGACCGATTCTCCCCAACTTGAACCGAAACGTATGGCTACAGTTTGAGGAAAACAGTGACTCCTGGTATTGGAGTATACCGCCAGACCAATCAGTGTACTAAGTTTATCTAACAGGGGTATGCAATAGTGATTGACATGGGGGTTAGAGCCACTGGTGAATTGAGTGTGCATTAACCTAATAGTCTCTACCACCAACATTAAGAGATCTTGTTTTTCACTCTATCGATATCAATGAATAACATGAATATTTCTGATCAATTAGTTATCTGYGTTGTTAAATGGGTGCTAGCAAAGTGATAGGTAATTAAACCTGACTCCATATCTCAAAGTGCTCCGGGTTAAGATACTAGCAAGCGCTTAAAAGCTTGTCTTATCCTCTAACGGAAATCGATGGTATTTCGAGTAGTCACAAATGTACAATCGACGATAACAAGAAGCCTATGTCGGCTACTGTCGATTATATCTGGTGCCTTCTACTGTCATCATCCGTACCAAACATTTAACCCTGAGAACTAGACAGCTTCAAGCATTTCTGAATGTTAGTAGAAGGTTGATAAACAATAATGACTTTTCTATAGCATAGTAGGTTTGTCGGAGTGTAAACAATTTGACTTGGCAAAGAAGATTTTATTTTATTATCTGAAGTCCACACAAAGTGCTTTTATATATATATATATGCTTTTTCAATTTACCAGACCCTTTTTCTTACGCAAAGCTGGCTAGTTATGGAAATAATTCTAATCACCCGATATTTGGAAACGTTCGGAACATTAATCAAAAGCCTTAAAGTAAACGAAGACCCGATCTTAAAACATATGAAGGAGCCCTACATCAATCACTTGGCTGGTCAATTTGACTTTTAAAATCAATATTTGAACAAAAAGCCTATGGAAAAATGGTTGTTTGCTCTTCGTTCTTAATTGCATTTTTCTGTTTTCTTAATATTCGCTCCCAACAACGAATATTCATGGTAATTTCTATCCGTTGGTTGAGCAATTATAAAACAGTTGGTTAAAAAAAGATCGTTTGACTCAAAACCACAGAGTTGTTACTTGAGATGATTAATTATTGGCTGCGTACGATGGTTTGAGTGTGCAAATCGACCGACGAATACAATCACTACTGTTTCCATTTATGAAAATCATTCTTTAATTACTGTATGTTTGCTAGTATAGAACGTGATTGACGCCTGATATTGGTTTTAACTGTTTTGAACTAAAAACAACAACAGAAAACAAGTTTGGAACACTTCAAATTAAAAGTGTAAAAAGACTCAGGCAAATACAACCTTTCGTCTCATTACCAGATTTAATTTTTGACAAATGATTGAAATACTTTTGTGGGGGTGTTTTTCAACCTGTGGTCTGTGTTTTCTAACCCCGCCAATTACATTTGGTTTATTGACACTATTCTCAATGTTTATTTTGCTGCTCATTATGTACAGAATTTATAACTTTGGCGATTAAAACAATCAACAAAGTACGTTGTCGTTGTCTTGCTTTTAATTTATCATGGTGATTACGAATACTCAGATATTGGACGATTGTTACTAAGGAAGCGCATCCATTTTAAAGATACTCTCAGAGTATATCACTCCTGTGATGTACAAGCAATTAAAWACACAATATTGAATACAGACAAAATGTGACATATGGGAAATTCTATATCAGACGAAGACTCTATATTGCTTTTTTTACAGATATTGGCTAAAGGGTTTACTTTTATTTGTGCTTTTTTTAATAGTTATCAAGATGGCGAACGTTCTTAATTACATTTAYTGCTGTGTCACTGCACGTATATGTTTTGTACACACCAATGTAGTTCATTTCTTAGTAATAATGATATATACATACATTCGATAACGCCTCCYAGTCTTACGACTATAAAATGACAATGAAAAAGGAATAACGACCTTGCAATCATTCAATTCTTATCCACTTCCCTTTCATTACTATAGYTTTCATTCATTTTCCTTTCTCTGACTTCCTGCTCACTCACTTCTCTTCGATCAGCTACCGCTTCRTTATAATATAATTTCGTTTTCTTTTTCTGGGCAAGTAAGATTTTCTGATGTCATACCCAATGGGATTTTCTTTCTTTCTTACCACTAATTATGAAAATAGTATGAAATATTTAGGAACTAACGGTAATTATATGTTAAACCATTTTTGTATTGCCTCAAATAAATAATGCGTGAATTTTCACACTTGTGCTATATTTACTTAATAGGCTTTAGCTGTGTTTAATGTAGAGTTCCGCGAAAACTCCGAGTGAATTGTCACCGGCCGGTAACATTGCGCGCTCCGGAGATAACATCGGAAGCTAAAAAAGATAGAACAAAACCTTTTAAAACATAAAGAAAATCAGTTGGTTGGTTTGGAGATAAGTTGGGTGATATAGAGATCGGATTTCATTGTTAATGAAGGAATTTGCCGTATCAGGACAGCCTTATACACAATTCTTTGATTTTCGAAGACAAAAAGTGATGAAAAAAAAAATGGCGCGTTAAAAGATGTATGACAGAASAATAATATGAAAGCCATTTTACCAAATGAATATATCAATGATTCAAAATGAAATAATAATAGCAAGGAAGAAAAAGTGACAACCAAATGGCAACAAAAATTGTCTACTGGTGTGTGCTACTGAACCAAAGCGGAAAGCGTTATGAGATTTTGAGAGTAATTTATTATCGTCTTAGCCAGATTTAAATCTTTTTTATGCTTTGAATGACTTTTGAGGCTCAAACCACTTTTTATTTTTATTATTAATCAAAGAGGTTCCAGTATTCGTGAATAAAACCCTTGACATGAGCTTACCACTTCTTGAAACCCCGAGTTGGCGCGCCTGTCTCCGTTAATCTATGACGTTTAATATCTATTCTAGTATAGCAAAGTTAATTGCACTCATGTGGCAACGACATCGGACAAGAATCATTTCAATGTTATATTCAAATTGTGCCGCATCTCTCGAATGGGTTTATTTGCGGTGAACAACACGTTATTTGGTGGCAGAGAAACCCCGTGTATTTACATTTGTATGTACTTATTGTTATTATTGGAGAATATACAGAAAACAACCGATTAGCCATAATACTTGTATTTTTGAATAAAAACAACTTATGCACTATCGTGGAAATGGATAAATGCAATGAAAATTGAAAATGGCCCCAAGGCTTTTAATATATTGTTTACACAGTTCGTCTGAAAGGTTTTCATTTTCGTTATTCAAAGATCTAACGATATTATTTACTTTCGAAATGCAAATATCATCTTACATTCTGAAAGAAAGACTGTGTAATTGGGTAAAAGAAATCCCTTTACAATGGAAAAATGAATTGGCATAAAACAAAAGGAGTGTGGTTTCTATTGCGGTTCGCCACTAGGGTGGTACAGTTCGGTAGTCCAATATATACAATCTTTATGTTTATTCATATATTATATATTTATATATCTTTGTGTATGCAGCAAGAGTTATTGATTCAGGCTTTTAAAAAGCAACAAATTATTATTTATTTTAAAGACACTCAAAGCCCTCAAGTTTTCGACAGAATGTCAAAGCAAACGTAGATTTGAGCAAATAGGAATGGGTAAATCTGCCTTGAAATGGATCCTCGGAGATCGATCGAGAATCTTATTGTTCAATTTCGTTTTTCTAAGCAACGATAATTTTAAGAGCAAACCACAGTTAATCTCAGATAGTTTGAATGTAAAAAAGCGGTTCAGGTGGTGACGTTTATAACTTTCCCTTTCTATCAGTAAACTCTTCCGTTTAGAAACACCCCTTAGAAAGAAATTAAAAGTTTCCTTTTTCTTCAAAAATTATAAACATCCTCTGTATAGATCGTBGTTTTTTTCTCTAGTCAAACAAATTACATGTCTATAAAAAGAATGATATAAAGCCTTGCCGCTACGCCATTCTCACCTAATTTTAACATGATGTCCGTAACTATTATTAAAGGAAATATATTGAACCTCTTTAAACAAATATACTACCTTGGTCAGAGCTACACTTCGAACACCGTTTAGAATTATCATCTATTCATTCTATTATTCACTTCATATATATATCTTTCATTCACTTTTATTAGATAGCGGGTATTGATTTGATGTTTTTATTATTTTTACTGAAAGTCTACAGCAAGTACCCAAATGTAATAAACAGACTCTTTGTACTGTGTTTCAATGCTTGGTGGGAAGTCATTGAGCTTTTCTACTTGCCCGTTTTTGGATTAGGAAAAGTAGGTTTTGAGCGCTTGTTTTTCTCGTTTAAGAGGGTATCTCAAAGGCAGTGCTTAATTCGAAGTCCATTGGCAAGGAGAGTCATTCATTATCTACACTATCAACAGAAACACCACTCTAGAACAGCTGTGTTTTTCGAACATTTTCATTTTATCGTCGTTGAATAATTCATCAGCCACAAGATAAACATGTTCAGCTTCAGTGACCCCATTCAGTGATGATAGATTTTCGTGGTTTGTGGTCTTCGCTTCAAACCGGCTCCAAAACAAAACAACCTATGTCATCCCATTAATTGTGTCTTTCTTTGAATTCAATGGCACACTCTTGGGAGCAGCGCGCGCGTTGGCGGCATGCATTGCGGTCTGATGCCTAATTCTATATTTACTGATCAGCTTTGTCAAATACTTTCAAATAATCGAAAAGGTTTGTTTTGTTGTGGTCTCAACGCTTCAGTAAGGGAACCCGCTTTTTGGCTGAAGAGTCTTGAGACATAAAAAACTTGAAAAGAAGGTTGATGTTTTTGTAAGCTCGATGGTTGGGATCAACCCCATGTGTTATTGGTATAGATGGTCAATCGTTTATGACTTTTTAAAGATATAGTGGTTATACATAAGGCCGTTTCACAACACTACATAGTGATTTCAATCAATCGTGCTAACAACATCTGTTTCCTAATTTTTGCACTGCATTGATAATTGTTCGTATTGGAAAACACCAAAAAATAATATCCGCACAGTCCCGCCAAAACCGAAGCAACCGTTTACAAAAGAAAATAAAAACGCGTGCTGTATCAATGGCTTTTGAAATAAAACAAAAATACAACAATTTGAACAAAAATACGAATCAATGARGTGCGTGACGTTGTAATAGGCCGTGATAGGAATTGTACAAGTCTCTTGAAAAACAAGGTGTGTCTTCTAAGAAAAAAATTAAATTTAGAATTTAAGAAGGAGTGGATGAACCAAGTACACAATACTCTTATAACCGCATTGGACGCAAACAAATACAGATGGACGGTTGAATGTTATAAATGGCTTTGTTTGAGGCTGTCAAATCTAATTGCATTTTAGACCGTGTTTGTTTCCTGATCGCTCTGTTTCAAAAAGCCATCTTAGAAAAGAATTCAATAGGTTCAACATATAGACTCAAAGCACGTGTCATGACGATAAACATCAAGTCCTGTAACTAAATTGGTTCATTGTGATCTGGTCTCTATTGCCCAAGTGACCGATTTTCTCTACGCTCATCCAATCATAGTCACCATCTTCTTGACCTTGTATTGTATTTAGAAACCCACGTGACTTGAGCCATGTTTTTTCATTAGGAATTCTCAAGTCATTATTACGATTACAGTCTGTAATTTACGTAATTACACCGACACTAATTAGCAACACTCAGATCCCGATTATTGTGTTAATTAAGCTTTTATCTATAGAAATCAATGTGTCGGCAAAGCGACAGCAAGGCGCCAAGATTGTATATATTTGTAAATGCCCGCCGGGAGTAATCTACTGAGCCAAGAGATTAAGGATCCGCTTTCTTCCACATTCAAATTGTTGATAACAAAATCAAATATTTTTTAAAGGGTTCGATTGGTACACATACATTAGAAATTCCAATTGTGCTAGTAATTTTCTTTGTAGATGAATGCTAACGCCTTGAAGCGGAAGGCAAATATTGAGTTGAATAACACATCAGGGAGAGCATTATGATGAAAACACAGCGGCTGCGCTCGAGTGAGAATAAAGATGGCCAAAACCCTTTCATGCTCGACAGCGSATTCAAAAAGCCGTGAAAATAATTCTGAAACTCAACCGCTCTCACCGCTAACATTAAGAATGGTTATAAAATAGACGTAATGCGGTCCACAAGCTTCGAATCGATTGGTCAGAGTTGAGCAATTTGTCGTTTTTCATTGTTTGGTTTACGATATTGAAAACCAATTTACAAAGCGTTCGTTCAAAGAAAGAGGTGGGAGGGACTTGGGCTTTGTCAACACTGTACCACGTTACTTTGATTGACATCTCAAGCAGCTCGTTAAAGTCTGTATGACACTCTTGATCTTATTAAGGCGACAAGAATGCAGGTGTCTCGGGTGTTTTTTCACACACTCTCCATGATGATTGGACCTTGTTTACCCCACAAGATGACTCAAACCCACGTGGGATATTTTCCCTCTTGGCGTCATTGGTGATTGGTTTTGACTAGATTGGCAATAAATATAGATTAAACACTATCCATATATGGTGTTCCCCCAGGGTGTTATGGTGTTACAAGTTGCTCACCGCGTGCCGCGTTTGCCGTGTCATTTTGCTGTGTCGATTTCAAGCTTGATATTTGTTCAAGACTCGGCGTGGAGTTCATGTGAGGAAGACGAGAAGTTAACTTGAGTATAGCAGAAGCTCTGTGAAACAGGATTACTTTCAAGAAGCTATCGTCGTGTTTGCCCAAGTGTGAATTTGTTTGGATTTCAAGATACTCTGTTCGGTAGTCGATCGACCCGTGAACATCGACGGTTAGTCAGTGGTGAAATGCTTGAGTACTTCTACTGTGCTCCTAAACAACTCTTAAGGGGCCCTGAGAAATTTCAGCTTAGTTAAACTCTCATTTGCTCTTCACTTTCGTGTAGTGGTCCTTGGATCTTCTGGGCAGCATGTACCAAAGTCGACATGCAGTAAGTGAAATACTGTATTCAAAGTCGTGGTTGTTCAAAGCGGAGTTTCTCTGCGAATAGTCCTCGTAATGTGACACCTAAGCAAGCAGATGAAGCTAAAGTGGATGGCTTACTTTTTTTCGTTTTCATTTAGACGCCCCATCAGCCTTCTGGGCAACCGTTTAAGTTTACTGTGGCAGATTCATGTGATCGTATTAAAGAAGAGTTCAATTTTCTTCAAGCCCAGTATCACAGGTACGTACCGTGCGAGTGCTTTGTTGATTGAACCTCTCTGCATGAATTAACCGAACCAAAAACATCGCCTCCATTTATCACTGCTTCTAACATGTTCGAAAAAAATCACATTGAAATGGAATTGCCTAAAGGAGTAGCATATCAATGGCTTTCTTTTACGCGCCTCATTTGAATTATTTGAGATGCATACACGGCCATTATGTCATGTAAAGTTAATCTTATCGTGGCTTTCAACACAATATTTACACAGCACTGTGTTTTTGCTTTCTAGCTTGAAGCTTGAGTGTGAGAAATTGGCTGGTGAGAAAACCGAAATGCAAAGACATTATGTTATGGTAGGGAGATCTATTCAATTTTTGCAAACTTATGTACAAAGTGGCTTCGAATGTTCTCTGCACTTCCATTGTGACCGATCGTTTTTGCGCGCGTTCTTTTGCAGTTGTAGCCGTAATGTGTATATAAGGAAATGCTAGGTTTTCTTTRGAATATTTGTAATATCTAGTAAGCAGGAGCTATCTATGCATTTTATGCTGTGTTTACACTGTCATGACGTTAGAAGGGTTTGTGAGGCCGCGATTTGAATTCCAGCCATCCGTTTGTCGACCAGATAACGAGTGAATTGGGTTAATGGTTTTTTTGCCTTTGCCTTAAGGCCTTCAATTTAATTGTGTAATAATGGAGTAGGCCCGCTATAATTAATTTGCAATTGATAGTCAATCTGTATTTATGGGAATTTTTTGCCTGACGTTTGATGCTGCTAATCCTTGAAATYGACAAGATCTGTTATTTTATTGAGTTCCAAACGGACAGATGGCTACAATGCTTTTTTCCTATCTTCTCATATATCGGTTTTACGAGAGAAAACGCTCATATCATATTTGTTTTAACCGCACTCTCGCCTGACCTCACACCGCAAATCTACTTTCTCTTTTCCCAGTACTATGAGATGTCATATGGTCTCAACGTTGAAATGCATAAGCAGGTAAGCGTACAAAACGAGTGAAGAGTGATATATAGTCTTGGTTAATTTCCTCTCGAGATCTGTTGGTTCACATCGTTGGCGGAGTCTATTACAGATACATTGAGCGTTGAAATAGTTCACGTTACGAAATGACCTGACATACATTAACAAGCCGACAGTGCAAGCGGAAATAGGCGACTGTCGGTGGAAATCAACTCCATCTAGCCCCGATTGAGGAGGGATTAAAGTTTTGGCGTCAGAAATTCAACAAAGGTCTTACATTACACCCTAGATAAACGAAAAGATGACAAGATTTAATAGTTTACATTTTTCCTTTCCGAAATGCAAATCGAAAGCTACTTGAGACTTAGAAAGTTCAAACAAGTCAGTTTCCTGAAATGCCAATATCAATAAGAATAGCAAGCAGAGAATTAATTGTAAATTGAAGACAATAGGTCGGATGATTATGAATACGTGATTCCCATTTGAGTCTCACATCCTTCCAAGTATGACAAATAAGTTTGCCCTTAATTTGTAGTMGAGTATAAATGTGTTTACTCTGGCGCTCAAGCTGGACATCATCTGTCTACTATGCAATATTTCCCGGACACTACTGCAAGCAAGGCTATCTACCTAATCGAGTAATCCATATTTTTTGGAGCCCGATGGTTTAGATTAAAGGGCTGCACGATACAGTCTATTATGACTGTTATTTGAGTAGAATTACGCTGTCAACACGTCCGCCTAAGCTGCAGCGATAATTAAATGCATCTTCGGGGTGGCGAGTGATAAGAGTCTATAGTGGTCGCTTGAGAAGAGCCGGATTATCGAGTAGTRTTTGTGTTTCCGCTCTCACCCAATACAAGTATCTTCTTACGACTAACTTTGGGCAAGTTAGAATAGTAATATATGAAGTGGATGAAATATATGATAGTCTATATGTCTGCATGCTAAATATGTAATTTTAATTACCAAGTCTGTCTTGCGTGTATTCTTATTGTTCCTGTGTTTCCAATGGGTCGTGTCAAATCAGCCAAACGTGGCTTTCCTTAGAGGTTAACCTCAACATATTTTGCGGGATCGGGTATTGGCGTGGAAATGATCCCACAGATAACATCACAACAGGATGAGCTGGATTGTTTAGCTCTTTGTAATATTGGCCAACKACAAACCGCGGAAATGTCTTGCCGATTTCTTTAAAAAACCCTAAACTAGTGCGTACGGCTTTTTTATATTAACTCCCTTGACGAAATTAGCCACCAAAACCACACCTCAGTCATTGCTTTGAGACAAATATTATTTCTCTTGTTACGAAAATGTCATCTGGTGTTGCGGTTAGCGTTCTTGTTCTAAAAGTATTCTGAACGCATTTTCAAGGTCATTGAGTTCTATAGTGACGTTGCATAATGAGACGCAAAGAGACCCATTAAATGCTCCAGTGGACGTGAATAAAGCACCCAACTAGCATACTCTGTCAAGAGAAATCCGACTCTCACATTCAACTCTAATCCTATTTTATATTTCTATAAAGATTGTTGTTTGGAGTCACGTTTAACTAGATTTGAAGTGTTATGAGTGGAATGTACCCAATAGGAATGGTGTACTGCATATCTAGATAGGCCAGCTGCCGCCAAGATTTAGATTATCAAAAACCATCTTTTTCTTTGCGGTAAAGGTTAATAGAATAAGGACCCACAATGTCATTAATTCATAAGCAGCCAAATTCCTCTTAATCACTAGATTTACTTGAAGGGATTAAATTATGTACAAGACCGACTTCAATTCAATTATAACAATCTAGTTCAAATCCTTTTTGCTGGAAGAATTTGTCAAATAATATTCGTTAGATTAGTAGTTGTTGATTCTTTCCTAGTCGTATCCTTTCTTTTTTGTCACTTTTCATAAATTTCAATTAGTTTTTTTGTGCTGTATTATTATTTGTAGAATTTATTATGTTTTGCCAATGCTTCAGTTATTCTTTTGTTCCTTACACTTATATTTTAGAATAAGCTTGTGGTAACCTGATTCAACAAAGGAGTTTGTTTTGTCTTATTTGTCTTTTGAAAAACAAATGAGTTTGACTTCTGGTTAAAATCTTGACAGCTTATCCTCTTCATGAATAATATATGTTTCAACAGATCAAAGTTGACATTCATTTTTAAACTACTCACAAAATTTTCATGTTTGCCTTMAAACTTATTCTTGTCATTTAAGATAATTATTTCTATGAAGTACTAATATTCTTTATGTTTTTTGCTTCTTTAGACTGAGATAGCAAAAAGACTCAATGCCATTTGTGCCCAGATAATACCTTTCCTATCTCAAGATGTAAGTAAGCTTTCCCTTTTATCTCTGAGGTGTATATATGCAAAAGTAATCTCTTGAGATTAGATATTGAAAACCCATTTTTTAGCTCCAAATAGTCTGTTATTGAAGTGATATAAACCCACYGTAAGGGCAATTAAGCAATCTTGTCAAGGAAGATTCATTTTATCATACATTTTGGTAAACAATTTCACAATATATTAAGTACARAAATCAAGATAATTTGTAATTTATTATGTGACACTGATTTCTCTCCATAGCATCAACAGCAAGTTGCAGCAGCAGTAGAAAGAGCTAAGCAAGTCACTATGTCAGAATTAAATGCTATTATTGGGGTAAGATGAAGACATCAGTTTTCTTTTTGCTTATTTATGTCTATCAGTGTAGCTTATCTTCATCAATAATTGTTGGCTTTGTTCTATGGAAATATATTCTTATGTTTCCCATGCATGAGATTATTTAGTAATGTAGGTGGTTATTTGGAAAAGTGATAGCTAAATATGYCCAACTTTCTTCTAGATAAACTAAAATATGTATAACTATTTACACCAATTTGTAAAGTTTCATAAAATTATTCATGCATATAGCGTCACTTATCACTAGGAAACAACGCAAATTAACAAAAAAAGACTGATTTCCTTTGTAATTTAAATCTCAAGAAAATGTAATTATTTTTTGTCAAAATCATCTCTATAAAGCAGGTAAATATTAGGTTTTGGAGTATTTTATTTGTTTGCAATAATAATGTGTCAATGCTTGGACTTAATGAACAATTTTTTTTCAATTTCCTACCTGCAAAATTTTAATGACTTTACTTTAAAGTTTTATCATGTGAACCTGTTCAAAGTAAGATTGATGACTTCTTTTGATATTACATTCTTATTTTCATGTTAGACAAAGTCAGTTGTAGTGCAAGTCAAAGTAGTATATTGGTGTGTTGATGTATTTAACTCTAATGTTTTGAATTTTGCAACAAAAGAACTGAAMTTAATGTCATAGGTTATCCAAAAGTTCTTGAGATAGATCACAATTCCTGCATGTACCAGTTATATTACTTGTTTTAGTCTGTCACTTCATGTCTCTATCTAAATATCCCTAAACTATTCTAAGGATTTTGGTTCAAGTAGTTTTTAATGTGTCTTATTGCTTTAAAGTCTTCCCCATGGTGAGTGATGAGAACTCTGAATCCTTTTAGGAACACATGAGTTTGTACTTATTACTTCATCTGGAATTGTCATTAGTTTCATGCCTTGATTAAGTTAGTAGATTATCTAGACCATGTTTTCACACTGTTTAAAAGACATACTACTCTGTTTTGCTTGGCAGGAAGTCTAACCTTATCTTGCTAATGAATGTAATTAATCATATGTTATGCTCTTGTACAAGAGTGAAGTGTGCTCTAATAAAATTTAATAATGCTGTAATTAATGAAGATATACACACATGTGTACTGGAATTTCAGTTGTAATGCAACCTGAACATTGGATCTAAAAGTGAAAAYGTAAATTTTATAGAAGTTATACTTTTGAGTTGTCTTTTCTTGTAGATAAATGCTGTAACAACATAATCCAGGGCTTTAACTTGSTTTGAATAGAATTTACAAAATGTTTCCTTAAACAACAACAAAACACACAGCAGATATTTTTAGTTTTTCCTCTTTTGTTCTCAAGTGTTAACACTAATCAGATCTGCCGCAATTACATATTCMTTCGWGTCACTCAGTTTCTAGGGTAGCATCTTTAGATTTTAGTAGTTGAGACTGATGGTATGGGTTCATTGCTTTCCTGGTACTTGTTGGTTTATCACTGTTTATTCTATATTTCATTCAGCTGAGCTGAGGTGGAATGGGACATGTGATGATTGATTGAATATAAGATTAGGATGAAACAGGAAACCTGCGGGATGCCCTCTTTCATTAAGACAACTGATCCRGTTAACTTTCAAGATGTTCAAACTCTAGAGAGATGTGAGACCACCTTCATGGCCGAGTAGATAACCTTGTTTGTGAGATAGATTGGCTTACTACTGATGACAGATAAAGACTGAGCTAGACAGATAATTACTGCATTCCTGAACCCGAAAATAGACTTCAATCAATATATGCCATAAATTCCACTAATAACGAGACCTCAAAGTTTATATTAGCAAATGTCTAATCAGTGTTTTTAGAAGCCAGAAAATTATTTTGTATTAAGGAAATATAGTACTTATGTCAAGAACTTGTTAAGCTACTKCTTATTTTTGATTGCCTGACTGAGGTTTATTTTGTTCGATTGTATCCTTCATTAAGATATGTTATTTGCTTGAGAAGGGTATTATATACAAGCTGTACAACATTTTTGTGGTGTTATAAGAGGTTATTAGGTGGTTAGTTGATTATYAAGGTTACATGTCCCTACAGGTTAAATCAATGGATTCATTTCAACATCTCATGTGTATTTAGTTAGTGTTATTTGATATCATAGCTAATTGTGTAACTATTTAACTCTAATTGAAAACTAAACCTGGTGAATTGRCATGCCTCATGGCAGAGAATCAGATTTCACTAATAGTTGCATACAAGTATAAATCTTAAATTTACAGTGCATCTAGATRTGTAAAGTGTTAAACCTATATTTTGTCTGATGACAGCTATTCTATGTAGACCTCAGCCTGGTTAAAGGATAGCATACAACACTTATTTCAATAGCTTGATAGACGTTAACCTCAGGTCAAGTAGCCCGAGTTAAATGTCAAATCTTAATCAATGGATTGATAGGATGTGCATRTGTTTGACTAAAACAAATTAAACCTCTTGATTCAATTAGTTTGATTCAACAATATTTTATCTTTTTCTATATATATTGCCATATAGATGATACGAGGTAGTGTTATGAATATATATATATCTTTCTCATGCTGTAATGTAGGTATACCCTCAGGCAGTATCTGTGTGCAGTCTAAACACACTTCRTATGGATTTAGAGTACCTGAGTGAATTTACAATAATTTACTAAATATTTGTTGTACTTTCATTGATTAGTGGTGTATATGTATAGTGTGGTTGATGACTTAATTTTTGTATCCATAGCAACAGCAACTTCATCAACCAGGAATGCAAGGCATTCATGCACATGCACCAACAATTCCTCTACCCCACCCTGGGGCACTACCCCCTCAGCTTCCCCCTGGAGTAGCATCAGGGCTACTAGGTGTCTCTGGCCAACCTCCTCATCTTCCAATTAAAGATGAAAAAGGTGAGACTTGGAAACACTACACATATTTTCATATGCTACAGTTGTATTACCAATATTTATTGCTTGAAGCATTTCTGACATAACATAGTACTTTTAAGGCTAAAATTTATCTCCTAATGTTATTTTATTATCATTGTTTATGAAATGTGTTACACTCCACTGATCTGAATCTATTGTAGAATAATGTTGGAATATAGCTTACCAATCATTATTAATTAAGGCAATTGTTACTAACCTCACAGTCCATAAATACTAATGTTTCTTTCTGTTTGTTTTTATCTTCTTCTGTGACCTAAAAAGCAATGGTAAGTATCATTATCTGTTTTACATAATAATATCCTGAACTCATCAAGTCAGCACAGAACCATGATACAGCAAATAAAAAAAGATTATAATACCAATACTATATACTACTGAAAATGTAAGATTATASCAAATACCCCCTCAATAATAATCCTTAAACCTTATTATTGGATTAGAATTCCCTATCGCCCTTGTCAAGACCAGAAAAAATGTATAACCGACCMTCAGATCTGTCATCACATGGCAGTGAGGATGGAGATAGAGATCGGGACCGTGAAAGAGAAAGACTTGAAAGACATATGAATGGTACAAAGATTAGCAAGAGAAAAAGAGATGAAAAAGACTCTGGGGTAAGCATAACTCTAATTTACAATGATMATGGATGAAACTAAACCAGAAAACATTAAAACATTATGCCTTTAATTAAGACAATTATGTTACTAAGTTGTATTAATTGCATCCATTATCGGCTTGTATAACTATAATCCATTCAAATGAACACGTTGGTTTTAGGATAGTGATGGCGAGAAAAGTGATGGTGATCTTGTTGTGGATGTATCCAATGAAGTAAGTTTGTTGAATTGGTATGTTAACAAAGTATTTAGTGATGTTCAACTCATRTCACATCATGTCAACAGGATGCTCCATCACCACATAGGATAGAAAATGGACCAGAATCTCCTCCATTTAATGAAAAGAAAACCAGAAAAGAGACTGGCTCTCCTTCATCATCATCRTCTACACCTTCATCAAAACGTGAAAGAGAACGAGATAGAGAACGAGAAAGGGAACGGGAAAGAGATAGAGATAGAGACAGGGAAAGAGAACGKGACAGGGATAGAGATACAAAAGTAAGTACTGTTGTAAATATCTTTGTATTTTAGATCCAAATTATATTTCCATATATTGCAGGTATATGAATTGTTTTAACATTTTTGGAAATTTAAATAATAATTGGATGTTTTTATTTGCATTGTAGTCATCAGAAAGTAAAGGTGGTGCATCAGATTCTGGTTCAGTTGGAAGAAAAAGCCCTTCTCGGTCTGCATCACCTCCAATAAAACATCCTATAGGTATATACTGATAAATTGACTAATCTTATTGATAACGRCATTAACCGCTCTTACAAATCAACAGCTCAAGCYATTCGCACTCCTATCTCAGTACCAGGAGGAGGKTCTGGTTACCCATTCAATAATCCACATAGTATGTCAGGGTAAGTCTTGCTCCGAGCATTTTGTTAATTTGTGACTGTGAGAGCATTTCCCTACTATATATTGTGCTATCAATATATCATCAATTTTACATGTTTTTTGTGTATGGAGAGATTGTTTGATTTGCACAAATGAGAATAGCTACAAATGAACACTGTTATATATTACAGATTAATGGCTAATAGCATGTCATCAGGTGGCCTTGGCTATGGACGATCACCACTGGTAAGGCCATTATTATTTCACCATTGATTTCTTTTGACAGCAATCAAAAAATATATGAATAGTCCTTAATAAATAACATTTTCTTTTTAGGTTGGTTATGACCCTACAGGTCATGCAAGGTTAGGGGCATCACCATTAGGCTCAGGAGCCCCACCTGGTGGAAAACCAGCCTACTCATTTCATGTTAGTGGTGATGGCCAAATGCAACCTGTCCCCTTCCCCCCTGATGCCCTAATTGGGTCCAACATTCCTCGACATGCTAGACAGATTAACCAATTAAACCATGGAGAAGTTGTATGTGCTGTAACCATAAGCCACCCTACAAGAAATGTTTTCACTGGTGGTAAGGTTAGTTGATGTTTTAACCTTGAATGCATTTTAGTCTTGTGTATAGAGTACAAACATTAAATGTGTGCAACCCTTTCCACTATTTACTACAAAATAGTGTTA